AGTAAATTGGTTTCAAGACCTCTCTGTGTTGAGGGCCACACAGGTTGTTCATGACTAATGCATCGCCGTCGTTGTCGTAGTGATCGTGCAGAAATATCGGACGGTACCACGCATGCAATGAGATGCATTTTTCAGCCAGCCAATCAGAATGGTAAAATTTCAACCAATTTGGTAAGCATTGAAATGAACCATCTGGTTGGTGGAATATTGGAGCGGTGGCATTCGGATTATTCTCACCGTAACCGCAACGATTGAACAACTGGATCTAGTGATATCATTTTGCCTGAATTTTCCAATGAAATGTGAACAGCTTGCTTGTATTCTAACAGACTTCACTGACTTCTACGCGTCATCAGTCCACACCCCAGTTTGCGTTATTCGAATGGGAGTGGAATCCCAAGTATTACAATATGGTGAAAATCAAGTAAACCGCCGAAGGAACATGCCTGCAACGATCCAAACCGAAAATACAATTCACTAACGGAGTGCCAAATTTCAATGATCGACTCATTTTTTGCTTGAAACGGGTTCGCAATTTGAGGAAATGTAATCAGATCACAAAAAACTATCGTTTTTTCAACTGTTGTTCCAGATGCTGGGATGAACCCCACAACCGAGACAGCTCGGATTCACAAACTGACGAATTCCTCCAGCCCACCCCCGTCCTCAAGACTTCAATCTAGCAAACAACAGTAATAAATTTGACCAATTTTCCACTTGCACTTGAAAACATTTATAATCTTTTGAAAACGAAAGCTCACCCCACTTTGTATTCTCAAATTACAAAAAATATACACAGAAATAGTCTTTCAGTTGGCCAAAGCAGGGTGGTCTTTTCAACACTGATAACGCGAACCCGGTGAACAGGGCAAAATGAATTCAGTACACCCGAGAACTCCTTTTCAATACTACATCGAGAGAATATCTGTCGCACTATCCCTGGTGTTTGCCACACCGCCCTTCAGCTTACCCGTTGCAGGCCCACTGTGGCTCTTCAAAGTCAACTATTAAGACTGCATTGGTAGTAATAGCTTTTATAACATCCTTTTGGTAGGTTCTAGGGTACGGTGGGGATTATGTGACAGGGTCGCACCCTCCAGTGTTTTATTTTATTGAATCTTGCATCCGGAGTTGTATTCTCCATGTAGTTTTAGGGTGTCACCCACCATTAACAGAACTCTGCAAGTACCGTTTCATCCGTGTTACGAATCGTCAACAGTCCATATCCGCGAAATCCGCTGAGATTTGAACACGGGCACTGGTAGTTAATAATCCGAGCTGCCTCGAGGTGAACAACACCTGGTTATTCAGCCTGCATTTGTCAATGTCGGACATAATCAGAAATGGACCGATTCCGTGATGGGCACCTTCTAACCAGGGACCTAATGTGATTGAGTGACAAACCTGCAACTCCTCTGGGTATGAATTCGCTCCTTCAAAGCGGTTTTGAGGAGAATTATATTTGTTTGCATTCATTACAGAGTCGACCACTCACGACTGAAAAGCCTTCAATCACGTGTATGTACACAAGTATGTGGTTAGCACTGCTGGCGTCTCCCGTTTTGGAAACCGCGATAAACCCTACAATCTTCAATCGACAAAGCCCATTGTCAGTGAGCCGGGTTGCAATCAATTCGGTGTCCTGTATGGCCAGTATTTGGTTTTCTGTGTAACCTTTACTTTTGTGCGACTATCTGCTTTCCGAGGATAAGTTCGCTTCCTGGACGTTTCTGAAGGCAGCTGTCCATGAGGTGATTTCACAGCACCGTGAAATCCAATAGTTGAACACTCCAACAACCACAAACCCACATTCTAAGTGACTGTACTAACCCGTCATTAGCTAACCTCAGAGGCGACACTTGGTCAAGATGTCGGAGATGGGCTTTTTCTTGTGGGTCCTACTTTTTGGCAGCGAAGGACATCAGTGATCCCACTGAACATGACAGTCCTACCATTAAATCTCAGTCACGCCTTGAAGGCACTGGTGGTTAAGACTAGTCAGGTTTTTCGTGTTATTGACCAGAAGTGGCCAGGTTTCGCAAGCAAATGTAACAACAGGTTGAATGATACCTAGATGAACGCAGTAGCATATATATATATATATATATATTATTGATTCGGTAGGGGGAGCAATTCAGCAAGTCTTCTTTTAACCGTTCCTCTGTAGTAAGTTGTGGTCTTGTCATAAAGATAAGTGCTGTCCCTTAAACCGCAACTTGAGTCGAAAAAACTTTCCAGCCTTCAGCAGCGGATACTATTCCCATGCCCACTGACAACTCAAACCAATATCGCGCAGTTTTAGAGCGAAGGTTATGGAAGATTGATAGACCGTAGTGGCGGAAGCCTAACTTTATGCGGAGATCTAACGCTTTTGTGACGAGTAATTTCGCCCAGTTTTTCATGGACGACTCTTATGACAGACAATTTTAGCGCTGTCTATCGCGCACATACACTATTATCGTCAGGGATCATAACCAGTCCGCTGCCGAAGTTTGACAAACTTTGGATGTCGTCTGGATTTGCTAGCCTAGAAACACTCACTGTGTTGTGGATGAGATTTCTGTAATGCTGAATAAGGAATCTCGAGACGAGCATGTATAAGTGCCCTTGGCGTCGACCGTCAAGACGCCGCGCTACGCTGGATAGTTATCCACGGATTAAGTGCTCGGCTTGGTGTGCTGTTCCGTGGTCAGTAGAATACCAAGTTGGAAGCAGATCTTCGTAACAGTAGGCTGATTGGTGTCTGCTAATATAAAGACGTGGTGGTCACTGTCGCACTTTTCACCACTACAGAACCGTCCTGGAGTGTGTTGCGCATGTCAGTCTGCAGATGTTGCTAACTGCCAGCCGGTTGAGAAGATCCACAAACGTTTAGCGTTGCCACCTCGCCTAGCTAGCCCAAAACGTTCTACATCACGACAAGTGCACTCATTTGATAGCCCAATGCGAAAATTCGAATAAACCAAGATTAGCAGCATGTCTCGCCCCTGGGAATGCAATTCTAAAAGACTATGCTTTACCCATTTGCATCCATTTCAGAACCACTTAAACAGTATTTTCAAACATCTCTAATCCCTCAACTTGACTCATATGAACAGATGCACGAAATGACTCAGCAATCAGACGGGAAAAGTTTGACAAAGCAAGGAAGGTTATGGTGCAACTTTGTGGATCCTGATAGTCAAATAACCATCACCCCACACTTAGGATCCCAAGATTCACAATCCGTCCAGAGCTGATACGGTTGAGAGTTGTTAGCCGTAACAAAGGCTCGAAATCACAATTAATGGATTTTTTCGGCACATTTATGAGGTACGTTGAGAAAACCAAATAACCAATAGTGAAATTAGACATCTGCTCAATTTAAGAAAGGCTATCATTATACTAGCATCGTCTTAAGTGATTTAAAAATATCCTTCATCGTCTGGAATCTTTTTTCCAGGCCAAATATTTTTCGATATCCCGGACTACGTTAACTATACTATGGGCAAATAAGTTAGTGAATTTCCAGCTCAAAGTGGAATATGAATCGAGCGGGTTTTATGTCTCTGAGCTGCACTAAAGGATACTACCTTTGATGGTAACCTCAGACGTGGGTCTTTGCAATCCGAGGTATCACTGAAGCAGACTTCCGCGTGCGTGCATGCGATGTTTGTATAGTAATCGAGATCCAAGAGCAGACAGGAAAACCCTACCCTTCGTCTGTTAGCCTGGAGACAGATACACCGAACAGAAACGTAAGAGAAAATAATGAACAGGTGAGAGAGAGAGTGTGCGATTAGGCGTATACATCTTTATAAGTATGTCTGTATACCGATTATTCAATTCAACCAATGTGATCATGGCTAGATGTGCCTGGAAGAAAAACAGAAAGAAACGGTTTTGCAGGGGAAGAGAAAGAGAAACAAAAAAAAACAAAAAGAATAAAGATAGCACTGATTAGATAGGCACAGAGTAAAAAGACAAAAAGGAATGTGTTCTCGTGAGGAGAAAAGACCAGTGACACACGTGCTTATTCGTGTGTTGATTGGGAGAAATAAGTGAGTGACGGTAATCGTCGAAACAGAGGGCAGGAGAAATTCGGGATTGTTGCACACATGAGGGCCCGCCGCACGCAGCATAAACCGAATGCTAGAAAAGGATCACCCTGTCTAAGTAGTCAATCGTCGACATTTTGCGGCATCTGGGACGAGTGGTGGTGTTGATGATATTTGTGTGAGGAAAACAGTGAGGCAGAGAGATAGGGTGAACGAATGAAAGACCNCCGCAACGCGACAACCGCTTGTGAATCTTCTCATTGTTTTCCAGTGACTCCGAAGAAAGAGTCGTGTGGATCAGAAGGATTGCATGTCATGGTTGAAAGGAACAATGCTCGCTAATGTATATATATATAGACGGAAACCGCCATGATGATGATGATTGTAGCAAGAGAAATGTGGAATCGGCCAAATATATCTGTGTGGTTGAAGTTACAGGCAAAAGTGGTTAATCATCCAAACGGCAATGATTGGGGGGGGGGTAGGGAAAACTCAAGTGTGTTACGAAGNAAGAAAAGGTGGTGGAAATGCAATAATCCGGACCGCCATCATTCGGACAGCGACCACAGTAGAGTGGGAGAACACACCCCACAGAGTGACCGGGTGCGACACGCCAATTGGGAATAGGAAAATGTCCGGGATAGTAATGATAGATTGGTACCAGTGTTTGCAATAACAGCGATGTGTATCAAGAGTCTAGGATCGGTTGTAGACGGAAAACAGCAGCAGCAACAACAACAGGAACGGCAACAACACCGAGAAACAACGTAAATTTGAATGATTCAATGGGGGGTAGAGAACGGTGGTAAACATATTCTTAAGTGGATTGGAAACGGGAGAACAGAATGAATCAGGTGGGACGAATTCGTGGTTGGATCACAAGAGAATAAGGATGAGAAAAACCGACCCGTGCCGAATACGCAGTGACTGGAGAAGGGAATGATACGGAGCAGAAATGCTAATTTAGACCGGCTCACCTCCGGCTCCAACCACAACATTCGTGGTGTTTCCGGCTGGTGCCGGTGGGGCAGCACCCGGTGGGTACGACAGTTTCTCTAAGTCACCCAGGAATGCCTCGGGAACTAACAAGTGAGTTCCCCCGATAACGATATCCCATTGTTTTCCGGATGCAGTGTTCATTACCTCATACGCACAACGCATTTCCGAGTATGACACACCACCTACGACGAAAAATATTAGTCGAGGTCCGGATCGGGGCTGCTGACTCTTGTCTCGGTGCCATAAACCATAACGGGCGGACATTGGAGCCGCACCCGCACCTCCCCGCGCTCCTGGACCTCTGACAGGGCCGCCTCCGAAGTACTGGAACAGTTTGGCATCCAGCTTATCTTCGCACGCATCCTAAGGAAATAGAAAAATGACACGGTCTTGGTCAAGTGATTTGGTGAAAAAAGGTACACATATAGACATAGCAAAAAAGAGCAACATTGTCTTCAGAGGTTGAAAATCTATTGACTTAGAGGACGGCGATCATCACCGTGGATCCGAACTGCGCCACACCAGACACCGTGACGATTCACAATTGCACAGTCATATTTCGATTACGGGAACTGCTTATAAGCTATTGCTTCTTCCGTTTCTTAAGCGTTTGAGCACAGATAGAACGACTGTATGGACAAACACAGATGAGAAATTTAAATGGCGACTGTTTGGATTAGCCCATTCGGTTTTTCACAAGCACCAACATCAACAGTGCCTGGTGCCTGTGAAAAATCGAATGGGCAAATCCAAACATTCACCATCTAAATTGATTGAGCCATTCGCACAAGGTGATAATCATCGACCGTGTAGCTCAGAGGTAAGGGTTTGAAGTCCCAACCCGAAGGTTCGCGGTTCGAGTCCCGACAGAGACAGAAAAAGTACGCACTGCTGGCAAGTACCAAACAGGACGAAACAGTGGTCCAGTGCTCTTTGTCGGTTATCACAAACAACTCCATTTAGAGATGAGAAATGTTATACATAAACTTGTGCAAGAGAAATAACAAGCGTTTTCAATTTTTCCCGTATTTTCCCAGATGTAGAAATGTAGGGCATATCAATGACAACACATCTATTTCAAACAATCGATTGTGGGCACACAAACAACATAGATGCAGGGAATATAGACCAAAACCAAGTCTCCTCGAATTCATTGGTACAGCGTGGGGAATAACCTCCCTAACAATCGCTGTCTTGCCACACAGATATGCTAATGCAATCCCTGGATCATCTAAGTGATTCTTCTTTGTAGATCTTCCGAAACCTTATGATCGTTTTGCACTGCTAGACACTTAGTTTGAAAAACGTATTCAACGTGTGGTGGGAAATGGGCTGTTTACAAATGTGAGAAAAGAGTTTTTTTTAATCTGTTAACGATACGTTTAAATATTTCGACATGTCTCAGGATGACACCCTGGAGTACTCTATCGAAAAGTTCAGGTTGTCTCGAACAAAGACATCGACATTCTACTCATTCGAGAAACGGGGTAGTTTTTGATTCCCAAGGAAGTGGTGCAGTGATATAAATGTAAACTTTGATGCATTGAATCTAATGTTATTTCCAATGGAATATCGAATATCGGTTTTTTTTTTACCGTATTCTAGATGTTGTTATCATCGGCATACACTATTTTGAGGTCCCAGAACGTTCGGTAGACTAGAACTAAGCACGGTACTCCGTGGAGCCCCGCGGACACCGTTAACAAGACCAGATAAGGAATCGGAAACTAGAAATGTGATAGTCCTTTGGCGAGGAAACTCTTCAATTCAACTAAGTACGAGTCCCCTGGATTCCACAATTTTAGATAATCCGGAGCAGTGTATTGCGGTTCATACAATCGGATACTTTGGAGTAGTTCAGGTACACCACGTCCACTGCTTCCGCTTGGTCATTCTCCTCGGGCCAAAAGTAAATGGGTGGTGCACAATCGCTTTTGTTGAAACCCAAATAACTCACTACAAAGTCAGAAAAAGTGGAGTTCATAACAATACGGGGGAAAGAGTGAAGGGGTGGTAGTTAGCAAGGTACTATAATGGTTGTCTTTGCAAATAAATGAAATTGTTCTTTCTCCCATGGTTGTGGAAGCGCAATTGTTGTAATAACCCACTTAACGGCGCAGTCATGACTTACTTCATTGATACGGGTTTGTTTTATGTAAAGTGCTACTCAAGCCCGGATATGAATTTCTTTTCAAAGGCCATGGTTTCAATTTCGTCCTTTTGGGGGTGGGGGAGGTATACTTGTGGTTGATGTTCGATGTGGAACATCATCTAACTCCTGAGGGAGTGGTAGTCCCAAGCTAACAAGCTCCATAAACACTTGGGTGCATTGACTTTTTCGCTCTTCGGCAGCCTATTTTGTTGAAGTACTTCCGACCAAACTTGGCACTGACACCGCAGACTTGACACTTCGATACAACAGTTTGCGATTTGATATAATTTATGCACCAGCTTTCCGTGGTACATCAACTGGTCTTTCCGCTCTAACTTGGTGCAGTGGTTTCACAACAGACTGTAGAAAATCCGCGTGCTGTGTTTGATTATTAGAGGGGCATTGGAGTAAGTTGTGTTTAATCTTGATCACGACATTTTTGTAAGGCAATTCACAAATTTTTGTCACGATACTAGAGGATCGAACTATAATTTAGGGGAGACCAAATAGCTATACTTAATTTGATCAACAAGAATGAATCCAATGCTCACAGTCCTCGATCATTCCATAATTACAATTTGTGGTTGTTGTTGTTGCTGTTGCTGCACTGTGAACCAGACGCATCGGACAGACTCGAAAGACCCGAGCGGTATTTACGAAACATACAGGAAGCCTATTCTGAAACACCAAGTGTTTCAATTCCGATTTTGACACTGACTTATGTCAGAAATCTGTCAGTTTCAGATATGGGCAAACATTGCGAAATGCGAAACAGTCAAATCCTTTAGAATCACCAACATCAAGTCTCCAAGGAAGAGAAGAAAAGAACCATGCATGCAATTGTTGAGCAGAAGAGAAGAAAGCAGTTCGGGCATAATGCCTAACATCTGTTTCTCTAGATTCACAAGATTCAAATGAATGTGTTCCATCCACTTGAATGTGATTTGTCAGTTGAATTCGGTCCGCGCGATAATCCTCTGATAATGCAGCAATCCGGCTCCGGGGGGGTCTTCGAATAACCACTTTTCAAGAGGTGATAGTTTAGCAGTATTGATCACTCGTGAATAAAGCCATAGTTTTTATGCTCTAATTCCAACAGCCCAGCAGTTCCGGTTGGTTGTGCTTCGCTTGCACCCTTAGCACTTAAATTTGTGTGAGCGCGCTCGATGCATGAATTAGCATAGTTTGTCCGCGGTCCAAGTGAGCAACATAAACCATGCTATGATACATGGGGAGACCGCGTGAATATATGATTGACATAACTCGAACAAACGTCCACCAGAAGGACCAGCAGAAGGCACGTCGACGTGACATAAATGGGCCATAAGAGTTAGATGGATATTCACTTTAAGCCATAGGTTTACGATTCGCTAATCTAACATGATGTTGGATAAAATATACCATGAGCAACATTCCACTGCACAAATTCAAGTGAAAGCACAGGAGCTGTGATTTTTGGGGAGAGAGAAAACATATATCCTATATTTACTAGACCAATCAAGAAGAGTGCCGTTACTGTTATCTATTATCATCATCATCCTTGCGGTCATGGAGTCTGACATTTAGAACCAATCATCACGCGAAAAAACGCTTCGAGCATACTGGGATTGGATTAGTACCCATTTCAGTCCAATTAGCGTATCAGACAAATTTCCTGCGCCACAGAAATCATAAAAGATGACTGCTGTTTCGGGATGTTTTAACAAAGGGAGAGAATGAAAAGTCAATCGGATTGAAAAACCACTGGCAATTTGCCTAGGGAAAACGGCTACAAGTTCTTATTCGAAACAAACCGAGAACAGGTGGACGAACCACACCCACATCTCCCTGGTTATGGCAGTGGTCACCCGCTTTATTGGGCATCCAGGTGTATTGGCCACTTTGAACGCTTGATCACGTCCAATCGACGTGATCCGATGAACTGGGCACCGTTTCACTGCCTTGCGGGTTAGACTTTAGTTAACAGAAGGCTCCGGTTCTGTATTCCCCCAAAAAATCAGCTGCCTTGACCTGTGTAACCGGACAATATTCTGCTCACAAGCTATCAAAGGAACTTTCTTTTTATGGATTATAGTGTCGTAATTTGTTTGGAATACAATTCGGACTCAGACATGTGGAAAACCTCATGTTGTTCGCTATTTCAAGTCTCTGGATCAAGGTCGACAGTTTTCTTTTCACAAAATGAACATGACAATACAAAGTTACGCACGCGCTCACCCGATCTACTCATTAAGAAAACAAACACGTACTCATGACCTCAATTAACAGGCACGAACTGAACCACGAAATGGATTCTGTGCATCGATTTCGCCATTCTTCTCCTCTTCCCTTATTTTCGACCGAAATACAAATTCCCCTCTTGTCCAACACTACTCACCTCCAGAATATTAAATCTTGACTTTTTCAATCGTGAATTTCAGCTGCAAATCCAACTTCCTTCTTCCAACCAATACTTCTGTGCGCTATATCGTTCACCCAATAGTGGCGACTCCGACATCCTTGATTATTTGTCTTCGAACATGGAACACTTGTTTGCGACTGACCCCAATTACCATCTTGTGAGATTTTAACGTTCATAATCAGGAATGGATGACACATTCCTCTGTTACTGCTTCTTTGTGGAGAGAAGCCGAACATTTCGATTGCGTTAAGAGCCTGAGCCAACTAGGTGGTCTCCCTACATGTGTCCTTAATCGAACTGGCGACCGTACCCATATCGTCAACCTAATAGTCACTTCAGTCTCCTCTTTTTTCAGATATTCATACTCTGGTTCATCGGATCACTGCATTGTTTTTGCTTTATCAAGTTTAGTAGCCTCAATCCGCCATCAACTTCGAGACAAACATTTTGCTAGTGACAGCTTCCGGGAAGTCCTGGCTCCTTACCCTTAGAACAATTGCTGTGTCAGACGTTTTCCAATATATCCCCTAATTCACCGCAATTGCTCTTCAAAGTATGTATAACT